GGCGGGGGCGAGGGGCGCAGAGGCCAGCATTCGTTTGGACGCCCGAAATGGGTACTCCAGATTTCGTAATACAAGGGAGGGGGTCTCAACCCTCCCAGACGAGCCATTTCAGACCCCCCCCGTGGGAGAGCCCTCCCAAACATCGTCCCCAGACCCCCCCAGGCCCTCCAAGATGGCCTGGAAGAGACCCCCCCCCGAAATGAGACCCCCCTCACTTTATTACGAAATCTGGAGTACGGAAAGAACGGGTACAATACCCAACAGCAAATGTTGTCCCAAGCCAATAGCGGCCGCCGTTGGGCAGGCAGCCTCCTGTCTCGAGTGGACACAGGCCGCGGCGGCACCGACAGCGAGTCCTGTTCAGAACGAACAGGAACTGCTGTTGGGCATTGTCCCCATTCTTTCCGTACCCATGTCGGGCGTCCAAAATTAGCTCCCGCCCATCGTGGGCAGGCAGGGCTCGCTGGCGTCGCCGCGGGCGCTGTAAGAGGACGCCTGCCCAACGGCGGCCGCCGTCGGTGTCGGGCCAGCGCCTGCAGTCGGGCATCGTGCTCCTCGTTCCAGTGCCCATCCCGTGCGTTCCAGACTTTCTCCTTCCCTCGTCGCTCCTCTCCTCCGTCTCCGCTGGGCACGCAGGGCGGCAATGATGGCACGAAGCCGTCGGCTCTCGCACGGACCAGAATTCCCGCGTTGAGCATGTCGAGGACTTCGTGTCTTGGTGTCCTGCCCCCCCTCCCTCCCCGAGATTCTTTTGGGCTAGGTCTTCCTCTTCTCCTCCTTCCACCCTCCTCCCAGTTCTCGCTGGTTCTCGGCGGCTTACCTTGAGCTCTCGGAGTCTTTTTCGGGAGGTCTCCCAGGTTTTCTGGACAGGGGGGAGGGAGGGGAAGAGCCCCTTGATCCTCCTTTCCCTCCTACGCTCCGCGCCCCCTTTCCCTTTCTATCCTCCGAGTGCGCGTGGTGTGCCGGGGGGCACCCGTGAGTAGATGATTGCGGATCTCGCGGGTCATCACGGGGTCCGTGCCCTGAAGGTTGTGGTATCCCCAGTGGCGCCAATGGTGGCCCGACCTGCTGGGCACTTCGGCATTGTACAGAGGCTAGGGTCACAGAACCTAGGCCCACGATACACACGCCTTGGACATCTGGTCCCTCGACAGCTTGCGGCGACGGGCGGGGGAGTCGGTCGAGGACTCCTCCTGTTCCCGCTCCAGCTCGTCCTCCTTCTATTCCCAGGCCCACGCCAGGAGGTGCCTGCTGCTCCTCATCTCGTTTCTTCTGAACCTCCGGTTGCCCCTACCCCAGTCATCGGAAGACCTGCTTTTTCGATTCCGCGGCCTGGCGGTTCTGACCACTTCCTTTTTTTATTGCGAAGGCCTTACGGCCGATGCCGCCGACCCTGAAGGGGGACGATGAACGACGACGACGACGACGACGACGACGACGACCACGACCACGACGACGACGACGACGACGACGACGACGACGACGACGACGACGACGACGACGACGACGACGACGACGGCGACGGCGACGGCGACGGCGACGGCGACGGCGACGGCGACGGCGACGGCGACGGCGACGACGATCGCGAGTCCTTGTTGGGGCCTTCCCGGACCCTCTTGGGCTGTCCTGGGGGGCCTTTGGACCGTCTTGGGGCCTTCCCGGGCCATCCTGGCGTGTACTTGGGCCGTTCTGGGGAGCTCTCGGAGGCAACTGGGGCCGACGTCGAGTGTATGAAGCCTGGAAGTCGAGCAGGCGGAAAAACATGGGCGATATCGGGACCTCCTGGTAGCCTCTTGGAGTGGGGAGCTTGAAATGTAGGTTGGTTTTCCCCCTCCTCGGCCTCTCTTGGGGTGTTCCTGGGGCTCTCTTGGGCGTTCTCGGTCGAAGAAGGCGGTTCTGGCCACTTCCTTTTTTATTTTTGTCTCGCCCTGGAGCCTTTCTTGATTCCTGACGCTCTCGGGGCCCGAAGTCGGCCCTGGGGGCCGAACGGGGCACTGCCCGGGCGGAGAACGCAGGCGGCCGCCACCCCCCCAGAAGTCCAGGGCCCGCCGCTCCCGCCCCTGCAGACAAAAACCCTCATCAGGACGCGCGGTAAGGACGCGAGACCCTCGGAAGCCGAGGTTGGGATTTTTTCGGCGGCGGGCGACGAACATCTCAAGGACGCAGGAGCGAGGAAGAGCAAGGGCGCAATGGTACCCTGAGCAAAGTCGCGCGTCCTCATTCGGGTTCTTGACTGTACCTCCGCCTCGCCTCCCCGGGCCCACGCTGGCGCCCGGAGGTGCCTGCGGCGGCAGGCGATGGGCGTCGCGCAATGAGGGGGGGCAGCGAGGGCTGCAGTAACCGGGCCCTGGAAGGCCCCTCCAGGGGCCCTTGCTGGCCCAAGAGGGGGCCTTTGGGGCCCGAGGAGTGCATCCTGAGCCCAAGAGGGGGCTTTGGGGCCCGAGAAGTGCATCTTTCTCCCCCCCTCGTTTGCCGCCCCCCACTTGCGCGACGCCCCAAGGCGGCGGAGTGGGACACCATGAGCCTCTCGCTGGTGCCGCAGGCCTTCGCCCTTCTCCACGCAAGGCACCCCGCGCTTCTCTCCAGCGTGGCGTCGCAGCTCCGGCGCGAGACCAGCGCGGTCTGGGGTCCGGGCGACCTGACTCGCGTCGTGTGGGCGTGCGCGCGGCTGCAGCATCTCGAAAGACGAAACACGGCACGAGCAGAAGCAGTCGGAGGGTTCAGCGGAGGAAAGGTACCGCGCTACCCATCCCTCGTCGCCTACGGCTGGATTCTCCTCGGGATTCTGGTCAGAATGCACCCCATCAGAGGTCGGGGGATGTGCGGTATTGGTACCTCGTTGTCCCAAGGTCCTCGCGGACCTCCGAAAGCTTAGCCGCCTGTGCAGTCTTGCGTTCTTTCGGCATCGGGACGACGCCCTCTTCCGGGACGCCAGCTGCAAGGCGCTGTCTCGGCTGCCCGAGTTTCCAGCTGGTGTGCTGACGCAAGCCATCTGGGCGTTCGCCACGGCGGGCCCACCCGAGGTGGCCAGCCACTTCTTCCCGCGCGCCGCCGAGTCCATGCCAGGAGCGGCCCTCTCGGCCTACACCACTGCCCACCTGGCCATGGTCGTCTGGGCGTTCGCTGCCACGCAGTTCCGGCCAGTGGAGCTCCTGGAGGAGATAGGCGAGGCGGTGCCTGGTAAGCCCAAGTACAACTCACAGGACGTCACCATGATCGCGTGGTCCTACGCGACGCTGCTGGCGCCGCAGCGGCGGGTCTTCGAGTTTCTCGCGCGGGCTGCGGTGCGGTCGGTGGGGTCCTTCAATCCGCAGGACCTGGCGAACGCCGCGTGGGCGTTCGCGACGACGGGAGAGCACGCCCCAGACATGTTCGACGCCATCGGGGACGAGGCGTGCGCTCGCGTCTCGGAGTTCTCCTGCCAGCACGTGGCCATGCTCCTCTGGGCGTTCGTCACTATCAGGCACAGGCACGACCGGCTCTTTGGCGTGGTGGGCGGATGCGCCCGCGTCGACCGCGGCTCGTGGCACAGCGCCAAGCTGCTGGCCTACGCGCTCGCGGGGCTCCCCGCCCTCGGCGCCAGGCTCGGCAGCGCAGAGACGACGTCGCGGGTCGCCGCCGAGATCGTGGAGGCGTGGCTCCACCGCCGCCAGACCGGCGTCTCCGAGGAGGACGACGTGCACACGGTGCACGACGCGGTGTTCCCGTGGGTGGACGCGGCCGTGGCAGGCTGGCGCGAGGTCGAGGAGGCGCTGAGCGTCCAGCGGCAGAGGCTGGTTGCGCTGGAGCGCTCCGCGGTTTTCGCGGCCATCCTGCCGCCCGCGCCGTCCGCCATGGACACGCCGACCGTGCGGGAGTACCAGGCTGCGGTGCAGGCCATCGGCGTCCGCGGGCTCGGCTCCGTGCACACCTGGCGCTTCCTGCGGGGAGTCGGCCTCGCCCGCGCCGACCCACAGCTGGCGCACCTGGCTCGCAAGGCCCGGGCGCGGGCGCAGCGGCACCGCCTCGGGCAGGCCACGGGCCGCGGCGAGCGCGCGAACTGGTGCTTCTGGCGCGGGCAGGTGCGGGCCCGCAGCGGGCCCGGAGGGGAGCGGAGGTCCGTGGAGGAGCCTGGCCGCCTGCAGAGCAGCGCCGTGCTGGGGTACCGCGAGGACCCCCGGCGGCGCGCAGAGCCGGGCGGGGCGAGGCGGGGTGGCCCTCCCCCTCCTGGAAGGCCGGGGGGGCTTCCCGGAAGCCCTCCTGCCTTCGGAGGGGCGCCCGCCCACCCCGCCCCCTCATCCGTCTCGCGTGCGCGCCATCCGAGGACTGTGCGGGCCTGGTGGCGGTCATGATGAGCCACGATCGGGTGAACCATCGCGCGTGGGACGCGGAGTTCCGGGCCATGGCGCGCGTCGCGGCCGCCGCGCGCTCGCTGCTGGCCGGGCGCGCGCTGAGCGAGGCGTCGGCCCTGCTGGCCGACGGCGCCTCCGAGGCGAGCGCCGCGCCCGGGAGCCTCGGCGGCGACGGCGAGGCAGGGGCGGAGGGCCGCCTGGAGATCCACATGACAGAGGTGCCGTGCCTCTCCTGTGTGTGCGCCATGGCGCAGGCGCGGGCCCTCCAGCAGAGCTGCGCCTCCGTGCTGCTGCCGCCGCATTCCCCCCCCCCCCCCTGTCGGGTTTCGGAGACGGCGGCCCTTTCCGGCAGAGGCCACAGCAGCAGCAGCAGCAGCAGCAGCAGCAGCAGCAGCAGCAGCAGCAGCAGGAGCAGGAGCAGGAGCAGGAGGAGGAGCAGGCAGACCAGACTGACGGAGGAGGAGAGTGTGCTGAAAATCATGCCACGCGTGGAGCACAACGGCCAGCAGAGTGATGATACAAGCAAATGCCACAAGATGCGGTACTTGAGACTGGGATGCAGGTGTGCCCGTTGATTGCCAGGCTTTGCAGCTGCACCTGGCGTGTTACATGGTAGTAGGGATATGGCCAATCTGGCGCTTCTGATTGGTATGACGCGTGCTAGGGGTG